AGTTTCTGCAAATTTTGCCTATCATATCAAGAAGCACACTGTGGGGGTTACCCGTCTACATGGGGTGTTTACTCCTCCCACCTCTAGTATCTGTAGAGGCCCACGATACCTTTTAAAATGCTCTGCTTTCGTTTTGTATTCTTTAAATGGACTTTTAAACCTTTAAGGTTTTATACCATTTATTTATGGCCATGCAGAAACACCCAGTATCTAAATTTAAACTGATAAATGTAAACTTATATATTTATTTTTTTATTTATGTTTATTCACCAATCAAGGGCCCACAGGGGGCATGAACAATTATATTATTGATCCCTGTATGTTTTCTGAAAACGAACGTTACGTCATCTTGCAATATTGTTTGTTGAGAGGTTACTATTCGCAGTGATAGAAAAACAAAAGTAGAGAATCTTTAAGGTAAGATAATTTATATTGTTCTATCTAAGTTACATTGAATATAATAAAAATTCGGGAAAAAAATTCTTGATTCTAAAAATGTATAATTATGGTTTTTTTTCCTTTGGAGCTTTGCCAAACACAAAAGCACACACACATACACAGCCAATGGTTTATAATTATAATTATGATATTCACAAAACAATGCAAGTAATTCATAATTGCATAATTACATAAAAAGTATATTTTTTCCAATCAGTTTTCAAGAAAAGGGGCAGAGGAGGTTTTTCTTTCATTACAATAGATAGAACGATTCAGATCCGTACGAAGCAATCCCAGAAGGGGGCAGACATATATTATCAGTTGGAGCAATATAAACTATCAAAAATTCATTGACAATTTTGACAAGCCAAAAATTAACAAAAAGAAAAGGTCATCAGACGTATTTATTGAAGGGGGTGCAATCAGCAATAGGATCTTTTATTCGTTTACTACTGCTAAATCACATTTTTTTTCTAGGGATCAAATTTTCATGGTTTCAGGAAAACTATTTGTTCAGGTGGATTTGATTTCGTAGTTAAAGAATTGTTCAGTAGTAATATATGTGAAAAATTTCATTTCATGGCGGACATAAATTCGTGAGTCTCGTCATAACCCTAAAACCACGAAAATAAAACCCAACGAAAATTGTGATTTTTATGACTGGGAGTCATGTTTCCTTGTTTCTTCTTTCCACTGCTTGGAATGCAACTCTTGTTTCTTTTAATCCCAAATATCCTAGTATCCTATTTTGAAATTTAAATATTTTCCATGATTATACAGAGTTTAAAATTTACTTAAAAAACGCTATAAAATTATATTCCCATTCATTATTACATACATATACATGCTCTATTTTGGAAGTGCATTCCACATAATAATAAAATAATAGAAATCGAAGAAGTAGGATAAGACATTTAAAGATTCGTCCTCGTATATTGCAGGTCTAAGATGTTGGATTAGATTGAGGAATGCTGTATGAGATAAAAATTATGATATAAAAAGTGAAGTATATACACTGGTCTATTTTTAAAAACTTTTGAAAATAATTTTTATTAATTAATTTTAATTATATACGAGGGTTGATCCAAATGTAATGTCAAGACTTCGATAAAATTGCTACCAGTCGACGTAAATCAACAAAATTATACATGATTGAAGCTATATTAATTACACATCAGTCCTGAAAAATTCAAATTAAAACGATTTATACTTTTCAAAGTATAGAATTACATACAAAGTGCAATTATAGTAGTCGCTGCACTTAAATAACGTCATATGACGGATACGCGCCGTCATACACTTAAACGCTCCCCCTCGTTTTATTTTACGAACACAATTACATATTTCACTATTTTAAAGAATAATTGGCACCAATTGTACACTCACTCTACTAGTATATATAATTAAGTCCTGTCAAAATTCTTTGAACAGTACCATGAAACAAGGTTTTTCTCATATCGCTCGAACCGTGACACGTCTCTTTTTTTGACAACGTCAGACACCATTGTACGCATTCGCCCGATCTCCCTGTTTTGGTCTTCCTGTCCTCCTGGTCCTCTGCTGATCATTCAATGACCTATGACCCGCCAAAAATCGCCGAAACCATCTATAAACAAGTCTGTTGTATAGATTCTTTCCTCTCTGTGTCTGATTAATCATCGTTAACTGCCTCTACTGGCAATTTTGCCGTTTTGAAGCAAATACGCTTTACAGCTCGTTTCAGCGTTTCTTTCACCATTTCGACATTTCTTTTGTTTAATACATCACATTAAAACAACAATGTTTATCATAAAACAAGAGGCCCATGGGCCACATCGCTCACCTGAGCACTAAGGGTAGGAAAAAGTAGAAAATGGTTTTTTATAGTAAAGTTTAAATCCAAAAGTAGTCCCATGACCAATCATGGATTTGCTATTTTTTTAGAAAATGATTTTTAAAGAATTTTCTTATATGTATCTTTGAAAACTTTGGTCGGCCATTTTGGCCCCGCCTTACCCCCGGGGGTCATAATTTGAACAAACTTGAATCCACACTGCCTGAGCATGCTTACATATAAATATGATGAATTATGGCTTTGTCATTCTTGAGAAGAAGATTTTAAAAGAATTTTCCTATATATTTCTATGTAAAACTTTGGTCGGCCATTTTGGCCCCGCCCTACCCCCGGGGGTCATGATTTGAAGAAATTTGAATCTACACTACCTGAGCATGCTTCCATATAAATATGATGAATTATTGCTTTGTCATTCTTGAGAAGAAGATTTTTAAAGAATTTTCCTATATATTTCTATGTAAAACTTTGGTCGGCCATTTTGGCCCGTCCTACCCCCGGGGGGTCATGATTTGAACAAACTTGAATCTACACTACCTGAGCATGCTTCCATATAAATATGACGAATTATGGCTTTGTCATTCTTGAGAAGAAGATTTTTTAAAGAATTTTCCTATATATTTCTATGTAAAACTTTGGTCGGCCATTTTGGCCCCGTCCTACCCCCGGGGGTCATGATTTGAACAAACTTAAAACTACACTACCTGAGCATGCTTCCATATATATATGATGAATAATGGCTTTGTCATTCTTGAGAAGAAGATTTTTAAAGAATTTTCCTATATATTTCTGTGTAAAACTTTGGTCGGCCATTTTGGCCCCGTCCTACCCCCGGGGGTCATGATTTAAAAAATTTGAATCTACGCTACCTGAGGATGTTTCTCCATAAGTTTCATCTTTCCTGGCACAGTGGTTCTTGAGAAGAAGATTTTTAAAATATGCCACCAAATTTTCATTTATTCCCAATTATCTCCCCTTGAATGAGGGCGTGGCCCTTCATTTGAACAAACTTGAATCCCCTTTAGCCAAGGATACTTTGTGGCAAGTTTGGTTGAAATTGGCCCAGCGGTTCTTGAGAAGTCGAAAATGTGAAAAGTTTACAGACAGACAGACGGACAGACAGACGGACGCCGTACAAAATGTGATCAGAAAAGCTCACTTGAGCTTTCAGCTCAGGTGAGCTAAAAGGGCAATGACGTCATTTTATTTTCAACTAAATACTAGAAAATGTATAATTTTGTCTTTTAAAATATTTGGCGATAGACGCTTTTTAGATGCTTTTTAATGTGTTTGTCTTTTTTCATTCTATGTAATATACACATTAAAACGTGACGTTTAGTTGTAACGCAGCGACACCTCTTATGTTTAATTTTTAAAGGTCTATAAAATAATTCAATCAAACATTATTAAATGAAATTTTCAATTTTAATTAGATTTCTTTTTCATGCTTCTTATGTACATAATATTTGATAATATGACGCCAAATATTGAAGATACGGACACAGTGACATTACTTTTGGATCAACCCTCGTATTTATAATGCACTTTCTTTAAATTCAGCATGGGGAAAAATTCATTCATACTTTAAAAAGAATTTCACCATTTAAAAAAAAATCTTTAAATAAAGTGTGTGTCGGGGTTTACTCGTTTTCCTGTTCTACGATTATACTTCCTTTTCTTCCCGAACAAACTCTCGTCTATTTCAACAATACTTTCGTCTCCATTTCCAAGCATTACAGGATCCTCTTTAGAAAATTCTTTCAACAATCCTCTCTAATACCTATACCATTTAACTACAGTTCCGTGGCTGATATCTCTGAATTTTTCCAGTCTTCATAACTTTGCATATTAATTAAAAAAAGAACAGAATTTCTAGCTGCTTTCCTGGGACATTTCTGATCTCTGAGATAGGTCTACAAATTATTTTAAAAAATCAAAACCTCCAAAGGAAGAAAATACACAACATGATAATTTCAATATCAATATATCCTCAAAATAATAGAGAAGTTGAGATGTTAAACTTGTAGACATATGTGTACTTGTGCATATACTTTGACGTACAAGTTTTTGTGATTTGTCTGCTGACATTTTCATGGCGAGTAACAAGTATATGTACACCGCGATCGGTCACTCAGTCTCTTTAACAACTTTTTAGAAGTTTTGTTAGTCAGTTTGATTCTAGGTAGTTAACAATACATGATTAAAATAAGTGCTCATGACACTACACATCTTAAATAATGTATAAAAGCAACATTTTCACACATAAATTGTTTTGGTTTTTTTAATCATTGTATCTACATGTACAATTTTTCTCTCAAGTTCTAAGGACGTGTAGAAAATTCGTCATCACTTAAATTAATGACGTTTTACTCGAGGAATTTAGGTAATTGCCCCTACTATATGTACCCTTACACGTACACTTATAAAATCTTAACCTCTCTACAGCTGTATTTATTATAGATTGGAGAATCATCTACAAATTTACCTCAAATATAATCTATTTTCATTTATTCAAATTAAGTTTTTCGGGAAAAAAGAATGTATATCAATTTAAGTTTTTATCCTCGGGATTCGGGATGGGTGTATATTTAAGATGTTAAGTACTATGCAATAAAGATTGAAAAACTCGCCTAAAATAGGATACACCAAGTCCATCACTTTAATAAGGGAATTTCATTTTCATACAGTTCAGTATATTAACCAAGAAGATTACTTTTTTACATATAGAAAGTCAACAATGAGAAGGCAATACTCTTTTGGATTTAGAAGAAAAAATTCTGAAATGTTTCCTTATTTCTGCGAAATATGCGTACCCCAACGACGTTTTAATACAACTTCTGGCAAAGCTAGTCATGATAGAATGAAGCACGGTGGGGCATTTAGAATTACAAGTACACCGTATTCGAGGGATCCACAATTACCTATTTATCACAGTAGTCAAAGTGGTCAGACATGCTCATCGAGTTATTCTTTAAGCACATTGACAGGAAGTGAACTTCAGGCATTTGTCAGGAATGAAATAGAACCTGACACGTCCTACATTTCCAGTTGTAAAGCAGTGGTACAACGCCTTTGCTTCTTCATGCAAAACAACTTTCCAGATGAACTGAGGCCATCTGAAGTTATCAAAGTGAGCAATGCTGCATATATAATTCTTAATATAAAAAGCTTATTTCATTATTTTAACATTGTTTTATATCGATTTTTTTTTATAGAAAGATATTACTCTATAAACCTAACTATTCGGCATAACTTATATCCTTCAGATAAGATAAATTAGTGACTATTTGATAAAGCTTATTACATTCTATACAATCAAGTAAATGTATCGCAACACGGTGATTATTCCAAACAAAAAAAATCAAATTTGCAAAACTCGTATATATATATTTACACAAGAATAAAAGGTTGTTTACAATATTATGCTATTCATACTTTCATTCGTAGAGTGGTTCGCTTGGAAAAGGCACAGCAGTCAAAGGAAAATCAGATGCAGATCTTGTTGTTTTCCTGTCTAGCTTTCATTCGATTTCGAAGCTGCACTCCACTTTGCCATCAATTTTACAAAGAATGAAACTGTATCTCGGCCAACACGGTCATTGTACCGTAGAGGGAACAACACGCCACGCCGTGAAAGTGTCTTTATCATGTCATGCTGGCCATACCCATGATGTGGATATACTTCCCAGTGTCAACATATTGAGTAAAAGTTAGTAAATAACTAAACCAGGAATGTGTACTTTTTATTTATGTCTCTGTCAAAGGCCTTTTAGTGTCATTTTTCAAAATACTTATATATATTTTTAATCAACAATACATTAAGTAGAATAACTATAGAAAAAAAAACCCGATTTGAGATAATGTACAAAATGCTTCTTTACTTAAAAAGACATACAGAATAAGACATGTTAAAATAAATTATTTCTGTACAATGTAGACCTAAAAACAGAAATATATTCATCGATGAAGTCTGAGTCACCAGCGCTGAGAGAATACTACTCAGCTGCTCTGGCACCACTACAAATTTCATTTGTTTCAAACGTTCCTACAAAAGTTAAAACCCTGATTCGTTTGATCAAATACTGGAGGAAAACTTTCTTTGAGGTAAGATTATATGTCATTTTACAATCTCGATTTTTTTAAAGATTCTTTTTATTTGTTAACAAAGAAATTTTCAATATCATGATAATTGACAGGAGAGCAGTTCTCGACGATTACCAAGCTCCTATCCACTGGAGCTAATAACAATTGGAGAGTGGGAAGATGCTGGGAGCCCGCAGAATTTTGATTTACTGAAAGGCTTCTACCATGTATTGAGAGCAATTGCTAACTACACAAAGCTTAAGCATGCATGGAATACAAATTATAATTTTGACAATTTTAAATGGTAACTTTTTTTTAAATTTAGACCTTCATAGACATTTAATGAGAAATCATTATAACACTAATATTTCAAATGTTTAATAAATATAGTACATTGTAAAGTGCAACCTTATTGTAATGCAAAATGTAAATAATACAAAGTGATCATGAATAATAATATTTTGTCTACAGGCCATTGATATCTTCATAGAACTTCTTGCATTTTCAGTTACGATTCCTGCTATGTTATGGATCCAGCAAATCCGTTCAACAATGTTATGAAGGCCTGTGACTGTTGGAGCATGGTGGCAGAAAAAACAAATCAGTTTCTTACCAAACCGCTATTCTACGGAGTTTCAGTTTATGGTGGCTGGCATTAGAGGAGACACATTTTGTATCACAAACTGATTTTCTATATTGGACTGCATGTTTAATTGAAAATTTTTTGTATGCTTAAAGATTTTGAAAATGGGTAACAAACACAATTCGGACGAATATCGAGAAACATTTGTTTATGTAAATTTTGCATTTTTTCTGAAATAATTTGAAATATTTCTAATGTTTACAAGTATTATCTGGTTTTTTTTTTATTTTATTTTTGCAGCTTGTTATCAGTATAACTAATTACAGCCAATTTTTCAATTGGCGCATTTTAAGCAATTTTTATCCCTCCCTTTTCACCCCTCCAAAATATATTTTCCCTAGTCTAAATATACTCGTAAATTTATTAATATATATACAACGTGAACTTAACAAAAAAAAAAAAAACAAACAAAAAACAAAATTCTTTGCATGTGTTCCATGATCGTACTAAAATTGTATACAAGAGTATGGGGACTTGTGTTTCGATGAGTATATCAACCAATATTCTCTAAGGCATCAAGTTTATTTGGATAATAAAATAATGACTCTCCTGACTGAGATCGCGGGGTAACTGCATGATCAGGTTGTGAAATGTTAATACCTGGTAATTTTTTTAAAACATCAAGTTGTATAACCTACTGTCCTGTAAATCTTCAATAAAATAAAATAAATCATTTAAGCATGTCTTTCGTTTGCCCTTATATTTTAAATTACATTATTATAAACACATTGCAATTGTTTGCGATGTGAAAATACTAGTACATATATAATTTGATTATGTTGACAATGCAGAATGAATTTCTTTATCTGCACAGAGAAATTATTCATGTCTGTTTTTTCTGGAGAAATTCATGGTTTCCTTATTTTTATTTTTCTTGTCTATTGAAATTGATATAAAATAATGTACATGTACATGCATATATAGTTTCCTGCCCTAACAAAATAGTTAACTATAGTTTACCAGAGTTGTCTATAGTTATCTGCAGTAAATCAAAGTTTTCATAGTGATTACCATATAGTTAATGAAAATGTTCATAGTATCATAATCATCACTGTAGTAAATAAAATTTTCATTGTGAACACAATAGTGATTTAAAAATTTCATCGTGAACTCCAAAGTAAATTAAGGGACTCCGATCCTCAGCCAGGAAGGACAACTCTTTAATTTATATTTTAATTCAAAAAGGTTCAAAATGAAGCTTGAAAATTAAATCTTTTCATGCAACAATTTTCATTATATACCTCTCAATGTGCTTCAAGGTTCTTTGAAGTTTTCAGAAAGGTATAATTAAAAGTCGAAACTTTTACCCCGTAAAAGCATTTTAAAATTACATATATCAAGAAGTTGATGTTCATTTGAATCTAACCATAGATACCAATGTTTATTAGGATAATATGAAATTAGAAGTGATTTATGGAGCTTTGCAATGACAGGAGAATCTTTGTACACTTTGCATTGTAAAATGATCGAAGTAAATAAAAGAAATTGAAGTACATTATTTGTATAAAATTTCTGGAATTCTTCAAAAGCCTGGATACCAATGATATTTATTTTTTAAATGTGTTAATTGATCAAATTTAAATTGGAAAATGCATAGCAGGTGTTTTTATTCGCAATTCCTGAAAATATTTTTGAGATTAACTAATTTTCTCTATATAATATGCTTAACTTGAAAGATGAAGTTTGAAGAATTATTATGGGTAAAAACACGTTACTTTGAAAATTTAGAGACATTTTTGTGAGCATTTTCAATTAGTCAATGCTTGATTTTCAGACCTGAGGATCGGAGTGCCTTAAATTTAGCAATGATGACGGATTTTATGGTTAAGATCCAGCCAATCCATACAACAACGTAATGAAGGCTTGTTACCTCTGGGACGCAGTCGCAGACAAAGCTGTAGTTTTTCAGCATGCCATTGTTTAAGGTAGAGATTGATAGGTTGCCAACAAAAAAACTACTCATTGAATTTTTCTGAATTTTTTATATGTTTGTGTTGAGTCCTTGTACTAAATCATATCAAAAATTCAAGGCAGGTCATCGGGCTAGTTTAAGAGAAATTTGACAATTTTTATATAGCCTTCATCAACCACCGAAGAGCTAAGAAAGCAGGGTAAAATAAAATAAGAATATGATATGAAAAAGGCTGTAAATTTTTTATTGCTTTATCAATTATCATTTGTCTTATATGAATTCAAACATCTATCCACATGAATTAATATTTGACATCAATCTTAAATTTATCAAGCATTGTAAGCGAAAAACAGAATTACATTCACGAAGATGCATGGTCAAATTAAGTTAAAATATTGCCTATTCTTTACACAAAGTCTCACACTTCTGTTTCCACTGTGAAAAAATTACCCATCAAATTTCTTTTTTTATTGCATAAAATAGCTAGTCTATAAGTGTCTTAAATTTCAGAAAAAAATCATACTACATAATGGGGTTTAAATTCATCCTGGGACAAGTTTATTATCTTACACCCTACCCTACCCCCTTCCTTTAGAAGGATGCACTTTTGAAGAATATGGTGACTATAAAAGATTATCAAGAATTTATCAAAATATTTCACAGAAAATGAGTAAATTCTTTGTAATCTTCTTCTAAATTACATTTTATATCATAAAAACAATTTTTACATGTACACCTAGACACATTTTGCTCTGGTGTTGACCTTTTTGCACTTATATTAAAAAAAGATCAGAACTTTCCTTTATATCATTCAAATTATCTTTTATAGGTAGAATTAATCAAAATATTTCAAAGAAAATGAGTAAATTCTTTAAAATATTCTTCTAAATTACATCTTATATCACAAAAAAACAATTTATACATGTACACCTGTACACATTTTGCCCTTGGTGACCTTTTCGCACTTACATTAAAAAAGATAAGAACTTTCCTTTATATCATTCAAATTGACTTTGTATATTTATTATACATATTATTCTTGGATGAGCTATCAATGACAATATCTTTTGACCAATTCTGTGCATAAAGTAAACTGGTCTTATTATATTCCTGTGACAACTATAGTATTAAATTCACTTTTCTTTCAACAATTCCTTTTTTATTCCAAATACATGTACAACATAAATAAGAAAACCAAGTGATTATGAAGTTTTGTACGCAGAGTCAATCCACGGTCGGCATGTAATACTTGTTTTAAAAATATTCAGATAAAAATGTGTTATGTATTACACTGTTAAATGAAGACTGCCAGGTCATCAGTTGTCAGATATTAATACACTGAAGCATCATATAGTAAAAAGTGACTTGTGTGGGAAAATGGAGAGTGATTCGATTATCATTTCATACATACAAAAATAGTGTAATAATTTACAAAAAAAAAAAAAAAAACATACAATGTCTTTAAAGTATAGATTTTGCAAACAGATTCATAAAAGTTAGAGGAATCCCACCATAAACTGTATATGATAGTGTACAATTTTTAAACTCAAGATGTAGTTCAACAAAATAAAGTGAATACATTTAGTACAGGTACGGTAATAGGATAAACTTGCTATTTTGCTTTTTGTCTTATTGGCTAACAAAGGTCAATTTAAACATGTATGCATTTTTAATTGCCATCGTATGCAGTCAGTTGCATCATGTTCAAGGATCCCGACAATTCTGTTGTTTTTATGTCAATACATGTACAACAAACTGAAGGTGTTCTTTCACAAGGATCTGCAGTGAGCAAAATTCATTCTGTATATTCAGATTTTGAAGCATGTCTTATGGTGTGATATGTTGTTCCTCTTTACTGTCTCCTTCTGGTAGTTCTTTTTCTGAAAAGAACAAATTATTTTAATACAATAAGAATGAAAATACATGTTTTACTTCTTTCTTACACTGCAAACATAGTATGACTATGTCTATATGAATATAAGACACTTTTGAAATACCTTTTTTATATAATGTCATGAATTTTTTAAATTAAATGCATATAAAGTCGGCATCATTAATCTGTGCTTTTTAGCTTCCAAGGAAATTATTTGGGTCAATGAATTGTCTTAATTAAACAAACTTGGTATATATGGATAAAGATCAAATATTTTAGTTTCTAAATGTAGGCCACACTCTAAGGCCAAGATCATGGGTTTAAAGAAAATGAAATAAAGGTGAAATATGAAGACTCAGCACTAGCTGTTCAAGAGTAAATACCAAAGTTTTTGTGGAAATAAAAAACTACATGTACCTGTCAGTGACACATCAATGTATATACAACTAGCAACATAACTATTATATGTGGAATTGAAATACTTTTCTTTTTACGTCTTATTCCATTTTTTTTTTAAATTCAGTTTTGTCCTTAATTACCTTATTCATAAAAATCCAATAATCTTTTGTAACACTGGCTGTAGATGACACTTGATTAGCCAAGGATCCTATATTTCTGTGGGATCTGTAACATGATGAAAATAAAATAAAAATAAAGTAGATAGCTTGATCTATTTAATTTTTTTTTTAATTTCTTAACAATTTTGATTTCGTTTGCAAATTTAGCTATGATAATGTGAAGAAGTCAGTATTGTTAAAAAACCATGTCACTTATAAGTTTTTTTTAACAATACAGACTTCTTCAGATTATCATACCTATTCTCTGGTGCTTCAATTGAAACAATTTCATTCAAGTTAGAAGACATCTTTACATTTTATAATTTTTTTGGTTATTCAGTTTTGAATTCAATTTACAATACAGTGAAGTCGCCAATTCCGGGTCACGTCAGGGTGTTTCATTGATATTTTGCAAATCTAATCAATTTATATTTTATGCAATATATGTATTGAAAGAACAAATAGTGAGTCATCCAAACACCTTTTCGTTTTCAAAGTAGCTACACGGGAACAATATTTACAGGGGTATTTCAGCCAGGCCTAACTTCCCCAGTTACGAATCATTTTCTCCATTTCCGGGTCATGTGACTTCTCGGTCGTGTAATATTCATGGACTTTTCGGAACACGATTTTTTTGATGTTGAAACATAAAACAATTCATGCAGCTTGGAAAAAAAGTAAAACAATCACAGAAATATGTTTAAAATTATTTTTAAAACAATTACAACAAAACAAATCGCAGTATGCAGAATGTAAATAATGTATTAGGATTAAAAATAATACAATTAAATTCAATTATTTAAAAGATG